AAAGCAGGCTACCACAAGATGCAACAATTCCACTCTTAGGCATATACCCAAAAGGCACATTCATACAACAAGGACATCTTTTTAACCATGTTCATAGCAGCACTATTTGTAATAGCCAGAAACTGGAAGCAACCTAGATGCCCCTCAACTGAGGAATGGATAGAGAAAACATGGTACATTTACACAATGGAGTGCTACTCATCAGAAAAAAACAATGGAATCTTGAAATTCATAGGCAAATGGATAGAACTAGAAGAAACAATTCTGAGGTAACCCAGTTGCAAAAATACAAAAATGGCATGTACTCACTCATATATGGATTTTAGATCTAGAGTAAAGAAGTAGCAGCCTACAATCCACACTGCCAGAGAAGCTAGGAAACAATGAGGACCCTAAGAGAGACATAAATGGTCCCCTGGAGAAGGGGAAAGAGACAAGATCTCCTAAGCTAATGGGGAGCATGGGGGGAGGGAAGAGGGAGTTAGAAGAAAGAGAAGGGGAGAAGAGGAGGGGAGAGGAGGACATGAGGGAGCAGGGAGATCTAGACAGGGAAAGAATAGAGGCAAGCAAGAAAAGAGATACCATGGTAGAGGGAGTCATTATAGGTATAAAGAGAATTCTGGCACTAGGGAAATGTCCAGAGACCTATAACATTGACCCCAATTAACAATCTAAGCAATAGTCAAGAGGCTACCTTAAAAGCCCTTCTCGGGGAAACACTGTCTGGAAAACAACAACAACAAAAAACATTCAAACCCAGAGTCAATGAGGGGGAAAGAAGATCCCTCATGGAAGGCCTCACCCTCCCTGGGGAGCAGAAAGGGATTGGAATATGGGGATCTGTGGGGGGCAAGGGAGGAGGAGAGGAAGAGGGAATTGAGATTGACATGTAAAAGACGCTTGTTTCTAATTTAAATTAAAGCAAAACAAAAACTGTGTAAAATTTCTCACAATATGTAAAAAGAACAAAACAAAACTACTTTTGTTTAAAGTGTGTGTCTTTACATATAAAGTTGGCTGATTTAAGTTAATTAATTACGTGTGTATGTGGAGGTCAGAGGACAACTTGAAGAAGTCAGTTCTCTCCTGCCACCTTGTGGAAGTCTGGGGATTAAATTCAGGTTGCCTGGTCTATATGCAAATGTTTCTACTAGCTAAGCCATCTTTCCAGCCCTAAATTTGGTTATTTAAAAAATAGTTTAAAAAAAAGAATACTAAAAATTGTGGATGGGATGGGTGGATTGGTGGGGGGCATGGGTGGATGGGAGGGACAGGAACTGGGACTGATATGTAAAATAAGATTATTTCTAATTTAAGTAAAATTTATGAAACAACAACAACAAAACTGTGTGTGTATGTAGAGGCCAGAGGTCTACTTGGGTATCTTCCTCTATCATGCTCCACTTTTTGTTTTGTTTTAATTAGAAATTAGGATCTCTCATTGAACTTACAGAACCTCTCACAGAACCTATAGTCTGTGAAGGTTTTGGCTGAACCTTTAGGATCCACTTGGTCTCTGGGGTTACAGGTATGTGCCACCACTCACAGTTTTTCATTTTTACATGGTTTAACATGGGAGTGTAGGCCTTCATGTGCATAGTTTAACCACAGGAACATCTTTCCAAACCCTGAAAAACATGTTTTGTTGTCTATTTTTTTGTTTCAAGAACTCTAAACTTGTAAAGATGTGACTCATATGTAAGATATTTGTAATAGAATTTTATGACACTAAATTGATTACTTCAGTTAATTTAGGCTATAAAATTTAACACCTGACCTATTTAAACATATCACTTATTCTGTTACAAATGACTGGTTCTCAAACTTCTGTGAACAACTTCACTGCAGAAAATGTATATCATCTAGTCTGTCTTCCTCTTTACCCTCACCATTTTGAGAAAAACAAGTTGCCACATTTTAGTTGTAATAAATTACAATTAAAGCATACCACATTAACTATGATTTTTGAGGCAGAGTCTTGCATACAGCCCAGGCTGTCCTTAAGTGTGCCATGTTCCTCTCTCAAATTTCATAGCAGCTGGGATCACAAGTGTGTGACACCACTTAGCTATGCTAGCCATTGTTTTGGTGCACAGTTCAGGGTTAAAACTAAAGTCCACTGACACAGTTGCTCAACAGTCACCACTTTTTATCTTCAGGACTAGTTTTCATCATCAAAAAAGAGAAGTCCGAACTCATACTTTCTTTTCTTTTTTCTTTCTTTCTTTCCTTTTTTTTTTTTTTTTTT